TCAGCTACTCTTTTTGGCTTCCCAGTGCTGACTATAGAGTCTAGCCCACAGATTAATTCACATTCGTTTGTTTGTTTATTGTGGTTCTAGGGAACCAGGCCAGGGTATGGTGCATATGAGGATGTATTCTATCCTTGCAACCGCTGTCTGGGAGAGTCTAGGCAAGAGTTTTAACACTGAGCCACACCCCAGCCCCTCAGTGGGATATTCTGGGCAGGTGTGCTACCACTGAGCCAAATACCTACTTGTGGATTCTAGACAAGCACCATTGCTGAGCTGTTTCTCCAACTAGCCCCTTCGATGCATGTTCGTTAGGCATAAAATCAGGCAAGCTAGAAACCCAAGAATCTTTCTAGACACCCCTTCTCCTCACCCTTGTAGCAAGTCTATCAGAAACCCTTCTATCAATCCCCTCCAAGTCTTCTGCCACAATTCATTATCACCTTTGTCCAGTCCCCATTTGTCACCTTCGAGAGCATTTCACATGGCCCTCCAAACCAGTGTCCCAGCTTTCAGTGCCTTTTCAAATCTCTTCTCCACACTCTATCTAGAACGTTCTTAAACTACACAGTCAAGGCTTTCTGCTGTTGTTTAGTAACAGCAGTCACCACCATTGTGCCTGCAGGGCTGCTCACAGAGGCCCATGCCTCAAATGATGGTGTTGCCTCTCGTTCATGCAGGATCACTGCTGTTGTGAAGAGGGCACCTTGTAGGATGGGCCTCCCTGGTCTGTCGACTCTGCTGTGTCTCAGCCCTGGTTCTGTTCCCTCTCTCCACACCCACATTCAGGGCATGTTTAGGCTTTAGGACCTACTGAGGTTGCTCTCATCACCAAGCTCTCCACGGGCCTTTACCTGAGCGTTCAACCCTCCCAATCCTTTGGCTCTCAGTTCTTGCATTCAGCCTAATCGACTACTTCAAATCATCTTCCTATAGGTCTTTATCGTTCAGATGCAGTCCATCATTTACTTATTTGAATTAATGGGTAATAATAAGCAGTATAATATTGTGCAATTAATTATGATGGAATATAGTGAGCCAAACAGAGACAAGCTCTATGTAGTCATCCTTCAGAGCCTGCTGGGTGCCCTGTGGGTGCAGGACCTGTGAGTTCCTTCTAGAAAACAGTGCTGCAGTGGCATGGGAGCTGCCCTTATCCATCCTCTCCTGCACATCGGCTGATCTCTGGATTCTGCATACAACCTCACCCGGTGTAGATACTGTCAGTAGCTGCCGTGTTGTATCGTTTAGGGAAGAGTAGCACAGACAGCTCTGTACATGTTCAATTCAATCTTTCCAAATAGCTTCCAACCCTGGATTGAATCTTCAGGTGCAAGACCTGTGGATTTGGTGGACTGACTTTATATATTGAAATTCTGTATATCTGGTGTGTGCGGCCGTTTCATGCACGGATAGTTTTCATGCAGTCCCAGTCCCGACATTGCTATCCCACTTGGGGTCTGAGTTTTTTGAGAGATACAGTGATTTAGTTTTAAAGTCCAGCTTAGGAACTTCACAAATAAGGTGTCAGAAATGTGAAGTTAGATAACTATGTCTGTGCCCCTAGACCAGAGCTGCTCTCGGGTTTAGTCAGAGATTCTTTCTCCGCCGTGGGCAGTGGTAACTGCAGAGACATAACTGGTTAAAGTGCTGAGGAAAATTGATGATTGAGTGCTCAGCTATAGATGGGGCATTGTATCAAAGGCTCAAAGAACACTGTGAGAGAGGAGACAGAAAATGTTGGGATTGGAGAAAGGGGAGGGGTGCTGTGGACAGCTGACTTCTGGGTATGACATGACCATTGCACTCTTGATCACAGCAGCTATGATTATTTGCACAAATAGGCACAAGGTTGGACCCGTCACCTCCCTCATGAGAAGGGGATGGCTCATGGGGCCCAACCCTCCCTGCGCATTTATAGGCAGAGAGTGGGTGAGGAGGGAGGGGGTGACATTTTCTTCAGTGCTGTAGCCCCTCATAAGATGCCCATGCTCCTGTAAGCAAACCTAATGAAACTTCCTGAGTCCCCAGAAATTAAGTAAGTAAAGAAATCACAATTGAACATAGACGGGTGAGTAGTTGGGACAATAAAGAAGAAAAATAGAGTTAGATAAGTGTTCTTGAGAAGAAATTTCCCTTTTTGAAACATCTGTGCCATGTAGAATCATAATATATAGGATTGGTTGTGTTCTGGAGCAGATTATGTGGATTTACCTAATGAGGTAACCACTAATGACCTCATAGTCTGAAGCAGGATATGTAAATTCTCTGTGCCTCTCACCTTCTCTGTGTCTTCTCACCTATAATATGAGTATAATAATGGTAGCCACTTCATAGGTTTTTGTGTGTGTGTGAGAGAGAGAGAATTACATAGGTTGATCCAGGACTGGGAATATAGCTCAGCTGGTAGAGTTCTTACCTAGCATGCATGAAGCCCTGGGTTCCATCCCCAGTACCATAACATGGCTGTCATCCCAGCACTGGGGAAGCTAAAGCAAGAGGCTCTTGAGTTTGAAGCTAGCCTGGCCTGCATAGTAAAACCCTGTTTCAAAGCGAACAAGTCTGGGGTCTTAGCAGTTGGCAGAGTGCTTGCCTAGCGTGCATGCAGCTCTGGGGTCCATCCCCAGTTCTACATAAACCTGGCATAATGGTGCTCATTTGTAATTCCTGCACTTAGGAAGTAGAGGCATGAGGGTCTGAAGTTCAAGGCCATCTTCAGCTAGGTAACAAGTTTCAGACCAGCCTATGGCTAGAAACTCTGTCTTAGAGAAACAAAAGCTTAATATGAAATACTTAGAACAATTCCCAGCCCATAATAAATACTCAGTAAATAGAATTTCTCTTGCTTTGTCACTATTATACCTAGTGACTGAACACATATTTATTCAGTATATTTTGTTCCTTGCTCCATTCTGAGTGCTGGGCACGTAGACACAACACAGGAGAAATAATGGATTATAACCCACAAATACTTTAATTACAAAATCTGATATAAATATTGTGGATGAAATAAGTGTAAAAGTGTGTAAGAGCTTATTAGGAGGGAGCTTCAGAACAGAGCATCCAGATGGAGAGAGGAGCAGGTATAAAGGCCTTGGGGAGGGAAGCAGCTCAGCTTCACTGTGGGACAAGTCCACTGTGTTAGGAGTGTGGGAGTGGAGAGGCCAGAAGACAGAATGGAGGCTGAAGAGGCACAACTGTATAGTTGATCCTGTGAGACCTTAGTGGGAAAAAAACACAAGCCTTCCATTCTGTTTAACAGGTGAGGAAACAAACACGTGTCTGGGTCAAAGACACGTAGCTCATTAGTTGATGGTGCTAGAGCCAAACGTCAAATGTACAGCATTGTTACTGAAAATGAAACTTGTACACATATAAAACTATCCCAGTTATGTGTCCAATCCCCCATATCAAGAGACGGTGATCTGCTTCTCCAGAGCCCTCATTCAGCCTCCCATCACACTACCAGGCTCCACAGCTAACCTGTCTCCTGACCTTGTACAATGGGGTATACACTGTGTCTGGTTTTGTGTTTTCACAGACTTTCAAAGGAAATGTGTGTTATAACCTATCTGGCTTCATTCATTCAGTGTCATGTCTGTGGTTTTCATGCATGGTTCTGTGTGTAGGAAAGTTACTCCGTTCAGTGCTGTGTAGTATTCCATTGTGTGCTATACCACAGGTGCCCTGTCCAATATCCCACTGAAAACCACTAAAACAAGTAATTTGCATGTCTGAAATGAAAACTATGTTGTGAATCCTGCCATTTATACTTGCTTATCCTGGTCACTTCTTAAAAAAAGATTTCAGAGGGTATATGAAGAAATTTGTCTTTTATAAATTTAAGTATTACCTTAAAAATAGATTTTCCATTTAAAACCAGGGACTAGGAGCTGGGTAGATGGCTTGGTGGATAATTCACTTGCCATGCAGATATGGGGACTAGAAATTGGATCCCCAGCACCCACCTAAATGCTGGCAAAGCATGACAACCTACCTGTAATCTCATTACTTGGTAGGTCAAGACAGGGGATCCCAAAGCAAACTGTCTAGGAAGACCAGACAAGCAGTGAGCTCCGAGTTTAAATTAGAGACCTTGCCTTAATAATAAGGTACAAAATGATTGAGGAAGACACTAATATCTTCCTCTGGCCTCCACAAGCACATGCACCCATATAAACATGTACCTGCATACACGTGTGGCCACACGTGTGAACACGTACACATGTAAAATAAAAGTTTAAAAAATAAATGAGGGGCTGGAGAGATGGCTCAGAGGTTAAGAACACTGTTCTTGCAGAAGACCCGGGTTCAAATCCCAGCACCCACATGGCAGCTAACAACTGTTGGTAACTCTAGTCCCAGGGGATCTGACAGCCTCTTCTGTTCTCCACAGGCATTGCACGGTACAGGTACACTTACCTACATGCAGGCAATACGTGCATACACATAAAATAAAAAAAGTAAATAAAAAGTTTTTTAAAGTAAATGAGTCAGGGACAGTAGCACACACCTTTAATCCTAGTACTCCAGGTGGCAGAGGAAGGTGGATCTCTGTGAAACTGAGCTCTGTGAGATTGGTCTACATAATGAGTTCCAGGCTTATCTGGGGCTACAAAGGGAGACTATGTCTCAAGAATTAATTAATTAATTAAATTAATTAATTAATTGATTAATTAACTAAAACCAATGGCTTGCATGGGCAGAAGTTGCCTGATGTGTCTCTTTGATAGACTGGCTTTACTTCTAAGTGGGCAGAAGTTGGATGAGTCTGTCTGGTGTCTTCAAGTAATGCGTCCACTGACATCTTGGCCTTTTGTAGTATTGTCTGGGCTGTCACTTGTTCCTAGAGGGCTGGGGATTATTTACTGCCTGATTGGGCTACATAGCCTTCATTTCTACTGTTGGAAACTGGATCTGTTTAAGTAATTAATTTATCAGATGGATTGGTTCTTTTCATCTCTGCTTCATCTGGGTTTTGTCTCTTTTTCATATCTCAGATGATGTTGCACCATATTTTAAAACGGAGCCAGGCCTGCCACAGATCCACCTGGAAGGGAACCGCCTTGTGCTCACCTGTCTGGCAGAAGGGAGCTGGCCTCTGGAGTTCAAGTGGATGCGCAATGACAGTGAGCTCACCACCTACAGCAGCGAATATAGGTACTTGATTCTAAGAGAAGACTCCTGTCAGGGTTATGTGTTTAAAATTCTAGACTTAGAGCAAAAGAGGAGAAAATCCTGGGTGGAGTCTTGATCCATTAAGCTTCCATGTGTGGTTGACACATAGTTTGCTGGTGTGGTGTGATCCATTTTCACCTAGAAGTCTGTCATTTGTGAAGTGAACCCATCTAGGACACCGCCACACAGAACCGTTAAGAGGAATATACTTTAATACTGAAATTTGCTTTTGTTGTGACCATTCCACTTACAACTATTGTGTGTATCTAATTGCCTCAACTATTTCATGTAGATAGATCAGTGGCTTCCAGAGTCCTGTGTTGTCAGTAAAACCTTCCTAGCTGCCTTTTCAACTTGGGAGAGGAAAGTGTCATCATGGGAGAGTGGGTGTGAGCAGAGTGAACAGTGAAGACCCAGTTCCTGGAATGTGCCTATCAACACGCCAGGTACAGACAGAGGGAGCCTGACCCACAGCAGAGCAGTGAGGGCAGAGCTGGAGCCCAGGAAGCTCTGAGCTGTGACTCCTCCCAGGGAGCAGCCCAGCTCTGCCTTTCAATCTCAGTTTCTTGTGTTTCTAAGAGGCTTAAATTTTCTTGTGGCTGGAGAGATGGCTCAGTGATTAAGAGCACTGGCTGCTCTTGCAGAGGACCCAGATTCAGTTCCCAGCACCCACAAGGCAACTAACAACTGTCCCTAACTCCAGTTCCAAGGGATCTGACCCCCCTTCCTAGAGTCCTTGGGCACTGTATGCACATGGTACACATATGTGCATGGAGGCATAACATTCATATTCATAGAATAAAAATAAAATCTTTAAAATTTTTCTTAAACTGAGGTACAAATGGGTTTCATATATACAGGTCATTACACTCCAGTCCCACTTGTCCCTCCCATGGTCCCTTCTCCCGCTGGCTCCCTTCACTCCCACACTTACCCTGTTTCTTCTGCTGTCATGTTAGCTGGCCTCTATCACCCTCTTGATCCTTTCATGAGTTCTTCCTCCCTCTCAGGATCCTGCTTCAAGATTTGTGATGTGTACGCACAGACATGTACACAGATACAAACACAGAGATACACATACAGATACATAAAGAGATATAGATGTATACACAGATACACACAAACATACAGGGATAAACATAGGTACAGATATACATACAGATATATACACATATACAAAGATACACACAGAGATACAGGTGTGCACACAGATACAGATATACATATACACACAGATACTATATAAAGAGAAACAGATACACACACAAATATAGATATATACACAGATACACACATTACACAGGTAAACACACATACACATAGGTATACACAGATAAACATACACATGCCTTTAAGTCTACATATGAGAGAAAACATGATATTAGTCTTTCTGAGTTTGTCTTATTTTGCCAAACTTAATGATTTTCAGTTTCATCCATTTTCCTACTAATGTCACAGTTTCAATTTCTTTATATCTGAAAGAATTCCTCTGGAGGGGAACTGGAGAGATGGCTCAGCAGTTAAGAGCACTGACTGCCTTTGCAGAGGACCCAGGTTCAGTTCCCAGCACCCACATGGCAGCTAACAACCACTTATAACTCCAGTTTCAGGGGATCCAATACCCTCTTCTGGCCTCTGTGGGCATTGCACACATGTGGTGCACTTACACACATGCTAGCAAAACTCTCATACACATAAAATTAAAATATATGAATTTTTTTAATTAAAAAGAGTTCCATTGTGTACATGTACCATGTTCTCATTACCCACCATGCGTTGGTGGACAGCTGGGCTGGTTCAGCCCCATAGCTATTATGAATACAGTAGCAATGAATGTGGACACACAGGTGTCTCTGTGATTATCTTTCAGGTATATACCAAGAGTGCTATAGCTAGGTCCTATGGTAGGTCTAGTTTTAGGTTTTCCAGAACCTTCCAGACTGATTCCCTTGGTGGTCATACAAGTTAACATTCCCATGAGGAGTTGTGTAAGGTTCCTCTTTCCCACATCCTTGCCAGAATTTGTTGTTGTGTTTTTATTATTCTTTCTTGATGATATCCATTCTGACTGGGGTGAGATGGAATCTCAAGGCAGTTTTAATTTACATCCCTCTGATGGCTAAGCATGATGAATGCTTTTTCAAGTATTTATTACCCATTTGTATTTCTTTTGAGAACTGTCTCTGCACTATCCCATTATTGATTGGTGATTTTTTTTGCTGTTTAATATTTGCAGTTTTATGTAGCTGCTGTTAACTCCCTGTGTGATGTATGGTTGGCAGAGAGTTCTCTCCCATTCTGTAGGTGCTCTCTTCACTAGTGATTATTTTCTTTGCTGGGCAGAAGCTTCTTAGTTTATTTTAATCCCACAAATCAATTCTCAGAATTGTTTCCTGTACAAGTGGAGTCCTGTTCACAAAGTCCTTGCTCACGCCCTTGTGTTTCCATCTTCCCTCTGCTTTTCCCTGATAGTTCAGAGTTTCAGGTCTTATATTAAGGTCTGTGATCCATCTTGAATTGATTCATTTGTGCGGAGTGAGAGGCACAGATCCACTTTCCTTCTTCCGATTTCCCCAGCACCATTTTTTTAAAAGACTGTCTTTTTTCAAGTTTGTATTTTTTACACGTTTATCAAAAATTAGATTCTTTTAGCTCTGAGGGTTTCTGTATGGGTCCTGTTCTCTTGATCTCATGTCTGTTTTCATGCCAGCCCTGCGTTGCCTGTCACTGTGGCTCTGTGGTGTGATTTGAGGTCAGGTATTGCGAGGATGCCACCAGAACCGTTTTCTGTTCAGGATCGTTTTGGCTGTTTAGACATGTTTGTGCTTCCATGTGGATTTAAGGGTCTTACTCTTTCCACTTCTGTGAAGATCATTTGAATTTTAATAGAGGCCTATAGATTGCTTTCAGCCGCGTGGCCATTTTCCCTGTTAATCCCTCCAGTCCGTGAACATGAGAGCTCCTTCCATCACCTGCTGCTTTCAGTTGTTTTCCTTTGGCATCTTAAACGTTCACTGTAGAAGTCTCCGTGCTTATATTTATTTGTAGATTATTTTAAGCTATTATAAATGGTATTTTTTCCTCTGCCTGAATTCTTTAACACATTTGTTATTGGTATATAGAAAAGCTACTGATTTTTGTCGTCGTAATTTTTTGTCTTACTGCTTTGCTGAAGTTGAAGTTACAGGTCAGTTCTAAGAGTTTGTAGTGAAAATCTTAGGGCTATTATTATTATTACTATTATTATTATTTTGAGACAGTATCCCCCTGTAGCTCCAGCTGGCCTAGAACTTGCTATGTAGACAGGCTGGCCTCAGCCTCACAGAGATCCACCTGCCTCTGCCTCTCAAGTCTGGGATTAAAGGCATGCACCACCACACCTGGCCTTCTTAGGACTTTTGAATGTGGGATGATGTTGTCTGCAAATAGGGATGATTTGACTTCTTGTTTTCTTTTCATTCCTGTATTTCTTTCTCTGTCTTGCTGCCGGAGCTAATACATCAAGCACTGTAGTGAATAAAATGCAGAAGTTTCCTTGTCTCATTCCTAATTTTAAAGACATGTTTTCCATTTTCTCCCATTCAATCTAATGCTGCTATAGGTTTGTTGCATGTGGCCTTTATCATATTGAGATATTATCCATCTATTTATCATTTCCTCTGGGCTTTTATCATGAAGAGCTGTTGACCTTGGTCAAATGCCTTTTCTGCATCTATTGAGATGATCTTGTAATGGTCCTTAAGTCTGTTTATTTGTGTATATAACCAGTCTCCTAACACTGGAGTGAAACCAATCTGGTTGTGGTCAGTGTTCTTCTTAGTGTGTTCTTGAATTTGGCTTGGCTTGTTAGTGTGAAGAAAAAGCTGTGTGTGAGTGATGAGTGTGGGCAGTGGATGCCCTGCTTGGTCACTTCAGCTCATGGGCTCAGTGACTTTGAAGTTAGCCATTTTTATCCATTCTTTTCATCTGTAAGCTGAGTGTGATAAAACCCATGCCACTAGACACTCATAAAAATCAGAGGATGTGGGGCAGGAGAGATGACTGAGCAGTTAAGAGCACTGATTGCTCTTTCAGAGGACACGAGTTCAGTTCCCAGCACCCACATGGTGGCTTACAACTGCCTGGAACTCCATCCAGCTCTAGGAGATCCAGTGCCCTCTTCTGGCCTCCGAGGGTGCTGTAGGCTCATGATACACTTACATACCCTCAGGCACCCACAGATACACATAAAATAAATAAATGTGTTTTTTTAGAATATCAGATGGTGGGGCTGGAGAGATGGCCCAGCAATTAAGAGTGTTGACTGCTCTTGCAGAGGACCCAGGTTCAATTCCCAGCACCCACATGGCTCTTAATAACCATCCATAACTTCAGTTCCAGGGGATCTGACACCTTCTTCTGACCTCTGAG